ATACTCATCGGGGTCCCTCTCTGACCCACAGGAAGACCACAAGTAAGACTCGACCACAGCGCGTCGGGAACTCTTCGCGGACCAAAGGTGATCCTAATCAGCCTTATATTATTGTTCTGATTCCTTGGTCAATCACAGAATTCCGTCAAGCTCCGTCTGTAACGATCGTAATAGAAGTAATTAGCTTCCATCTACTCTCTCTCTTGGTTCATGTCAATGTTAAGTCGTTGGCCGCGATATCACGCTTTGCTAACAACGTTTTTCTTTTCTTCTTGTGTAATCCTGGTGACAATCATAATTATCAATATACAAATTAATTAATTAATCAATAAACCAGACTGTTTGAACAGCCTATACTCTGATCGGCGATATATACATACATACATACATACATATATATATATATATATATATATATATATATATATATATAATATATATTATTATAATATTATATATATATATATATACATATATATACATATACATGTATATGTGAATATATATGTATGTATGTATGTATGTATGTATGTGTTGTGTGTGTGTGTGTGTGTGTGTTGTGTGTGTGTGTGTGTGTGTTACGTATGTTTGTATGTATGTATGTATGTATGATATATATATATGTATATATATATATTATATATATATATATATATATATATTATATAATGTATGTATGTATGTATGTATGTATGTATGTATGTATGTATGTATATATATATTTGTAATGCTAGATAAGCATTTTTTGTAATTTATTCTAAATCATCAAACTTCATTCAATACCGCAAAAAATATTCCATTCAAATTTTTATTCGCATCACACCGACGGCGAACTCCACGCTCGTTAACAATTCATTAAAAATCAACAATATTCACAACGTAAACCAAACATTTTTTTTCTTTTATGACTGAAAAACAAATTCACAAATATATCAAAAAATAATAAACAATCCACAATAATCCTAACGACTTTAAACCCAATGAAGACGAAAAAGAAGACGCGGTTCGCCCATCTTCCATCCACCCTCACTGATCCCTCATGAAACCTCTCATAACCCTCATGAAACCCTTAATGAACCCCCTTATAACCCTCATAAAACCCCTCATAACCACATGGAACCTCATAACCCACATGAAACCTTCATAACCCTCATAAACCCTCATAACCCGCATGGAACCTCATATCCCACATGGAACCCTCATAAACCACATGAACCTCATGAACCCCTCATAACCCACATGAACCCTCATAACCTTCACGAACCCTCATAACCCTCATGAACCCCCCTCATAAACCCTGCCCTCCCTCATGCCACATAGCCCCCCCCCCCAGCACCTCATAGTCCGTGGCGAAGGGATATCTTGTGTTGTTATATATTTGCGCGAACGTGTAATATGCAAATGAAGTGAACGGCAGTCACTCGGCCCTGCAATGAATAATGGAGCGGAGAGACACTAAGAGCGAGAGAAAGAGAAATGGGGAGAAAGAGTGGAGGCGTAGGAGGGAATGGGAGCGGAAAGAGTGTTGGAGGAGAAAAGGAAGGGATGGAGGAGGGGAGGAGGAAGAAAGGAAGGGAGGGAAGGAGGATGGAGGGAGGGAGGGAAGGAGGGAAGGAAGGAAGGAAGGAAGGAGAAGGGAGGATGAGAGAGAGAGAGGAGAGAGAGAGAGAGAGAGGAGAGAGAGAGAGAGAGAGAGAGAGAGAGAGAGAGAGAGAGAGAGAGAGAGAGAGAGAGATTGAAAGAAAGAAAGAAAGAAAGAGAGAGAGAGAGGAGAGAGAGAGAGAGAGGAGAGAGAGAGAGAGAGAGAGAGAGAGAGAGAGAAGAGAGAGAGGGAGGATGGCCCAATCAGCAAATCCAGATAAGCCAAGTTACCTCATCCTGTTGAGATGTAATTTTCATTTTGTCTAATAAACGTGTCAAAGACAAAAAGTCTGTCTCTTACTGTCTCACTCAGACTCACTAACCCATTGACTACTTCTCTCTCTCTCTCTGCTCCAATTTCTCCTCCTCTCTCTTTCTCCCTCCCTTCCTCCTTCCCTCCCGCTGCGTCCTACCAAGCAGTCCAGAGCCGAAGTTTGTACCTTGAGGCCTCGCTTATCCGGTGATTCTCTTATCTTATCTTATCTCGAGACAAACAGGAAAAGCATTACGCCCCCCCCCTACCCCCCCCATTGCATTGTCCTGAAGCAAAGATTTGATTTTCCTTTGGAGAGGAAGCTGGAGGGCTTGAAGGAGATGAGGGAGAGAAAGAAAACAAAAGAAAAGTAGGAGATACTCCTTAAAGAAGTAAAAAAAAAATAAATAAATAAATAAACAAAATAAAATAAATAATAATACAAAACAAAACGAGAGTAGGAGAGATACTCCTTAAACCTGAAGTAAAAGAACAATAAACAAATCAACAAATACAAATAAAAAATAATACGAAAAAGGATACAAATCAAAACAAATGTAGGAGATACTCCATAAACCTGAAGTAAAAAAAAAAAAAAAAAAAAAA